TTTCAACCTCCGAGGGTTGACTCGCCGGTGCTTTGATATGCTTCGCTTCATTTGTGCCTTAGTGTTTCGACACGACAGAGGCGTTTAAGATCGATTGTTTCCAACACATACATGGGTACAACACTGAAGGGTGTGCTGGAATAACTCCCAGCTGCTGTTGGGTTAAGTAATGACTTTTAGGAAGTACGGTATGATGTACATTGTATTGTAGGACATGTTAATGTCTAGAATAATACTTGTAATGTTGAAGTAAATTGCATTGTGAACTCTCTGTTTCATCTGGGTGAAAGGAGAGCAGTTCTCTAAGAAGAGTGCAGGAGCACAATATCATCACCAATTTACCGTACTTCAATTCAACACACACGGGTGATTTTGGTACATAATCTAAGATCTTCGGAGCAGATGCTTCAAGAGGATCATGAAGTGTATATTGATAGCTTGTGAATGGAACAACTCCCGGCTGTGTGTCAAACATCTTGGCACTATCCTCCACATGTGCCTGCATGGGACAGTGTGTACGGTACATGGGTTCGTGGGTGAATAAGCACATGGATGCATGGATGCATGGGTGCATGGATGCATGGGTGCATGGGTGCATGGATGCATTGGTGCATTGGTGCATGGGTGCATGGGTGAATGATTGAATGGGTGCATGGGTGCATGGGTGAATGATTGAATGGGTGCATGGGTGAATGATTGAATGGGTGCATGGGTGGATGGGTGAATGATTGAATGGTTGGATGGGTGGATGGGTTTAGGGTCACATATCAGAAACAAGGTAATGGCCAGATTGATGAAAACCAGAAATTAACGGGTGCATGGGTGCATCGGCGTATGTTGTTAGGAGGAGGAGAGGGAATGGAAGCAGCAGAGTCATGGGAGAGAATGCGAGGTGGTGAGTGAAGGGAAGCAGAGGAGGGCAGGGACTTGGGAGCTCGGAGAGAAAAAGAGAGCGATTCACATGGGCGTGTTGGTGGTAACCAGCTGCCCTGCTGGTGAGGAGCGACGGAACAAAGTGAGATGGCAAGGAGGAAGTGGCGGAGATGGCAACCGAGGTGACAACACAGAAACTGAGATGACAGTTGGGATTTCAACTGAAAAGGCAAGCGAGTTAGCAAATGATGCAACTCAAACGGCAACTCAGATGCCAAAAACCGTCAACTGAGAGATGGCATTGGAGATGGAAACTGAGGTGCCAATTGCAATGTTCAACTGAGATGGAAACAGAAATGGCACCTGAAACGGCAACTGAAATCGCACCTGAGATGGCAAGTGTGATGGCAAGTGAGATGGCAAGTGAGATGGCAAGTGACATAGCAAGCAAATTGTGAGAGGGAGAGACCGGGACCCTTGGGAATGATGTAAGCAGCTGAGGCGAGGAAACAGCCATGGAGACTGGAATGTGATGTGATGGAATGGCATGGGATGGCATGGCATGGGATGGCATGGCATGGGATGGGATGGGATGGGATGGGATGGGATGGGATGGGATGGGATGGGATGGGATGGGGTGGGATGGGACGGGATGGGATGGGGTGGGATGGGATGGGATGGGATGGGATGGGATGGGATGGGATGGGATGGGATGGGATGGCATGGGATGGGATGGGATGGGATGGGATGGGATGGGGTGGGATGGGATGGGATGGGATGGGGTGGGATGGGATGGGATGGGATGGGATGGGATGGGATGGGATGGGATGGGATGGCATGGCATGGGATGGGATGGCATGGGATGGGATGGGATGGGATGGGATGGGATGGGATGGGATGGGGTGGGATGGGATGGGATGGGATGGGATGGGATGGGGTGGGATGGGATGGGATGGGATGGGATGGGATGGGAAGGACTGGAGTGAGAGGTACACCAAAAGCAAACGGGCAGAAAGAAAACACACACACAATATAACAACATATCCACATTTCACAAAAAAACAGATGGAAAAAAAAACTGCTCGGTATCACAGAAATGAGACAGCTAAGGGCTGACGGGCTTCCTACCTTGGTGGCACTTGCGATCCCGTGGCTGTGGCTACACTAGGCATCCTAGCTCATTACTACAACAGCCCCCCCACTGTCTCAGCACACACCTGCTCCATCTGAGAACTCACCTGCCCCACCACATGAGCACACACTTGCCCCATCACCTGAAAACTTCTCTGCCCCACCACCTGAAAACTTCTCTGCCCCACCACCTGAAAACTTCTCTGCTCCACCACATGAGAACTCATCGCCAACTTCTGGCCCTTCCGCAACACTGCGGGCGGCGGCAGCAAGAGCAAGACCAGTGCCAGCAGCAGCAGCAGCAGCAGCAGCATTAGTGCTGTCGCCGCCGCTGCGCCCGCTGCTGGTGCTGCTGGTGGGAGCAACACGTCTCTATCTACCCTCCCACAACCCCTCTCCAACAGCAGCAGCGGCAGCAGCAGCAGCATCCCGATTCCAGCAGCGGCAACCAACACCGCCACCACCAACACCAGCACCACCACCACCAGCACTAGCAGCAGCAGCAGCAGCAGCCTAAGCAAGGCGCTCCAAGGCCGGGCCTCCCCTCTCCGAACCTCCTCAGGCTCGGGCCCCTTAGCACCGTGCGCCGACCTGCCAGGCACGGGCAGGAGCCCCGCGGGTAGTCCCCTAAGGCTGTTTGGGCGCAAAGGATCGGACGAGGGGTCGGGAGGCGGTGTGGGGGGCCTGTGGAGGCGAGGCTCGGGGGGGCTGAGTCCATGGGTGGGAGGGGAGGAGAGTAAGGGAGGGGGGAGTGGACGGACACCGTCTTGTGCTGCTAGCCCTGGAAAGGAGGGGTAGGGGGCTGTAGTGGAATGTGCAGGGGAGGGTGCAGTTGGGACTGCAGAGTGTGCAGAGGAGGTGCAGAGGGTGCAGAGGAGGGTGGGAGTAGACTTGGGTTTCAGCAAGAGGGAGTAAGATTGAGCTGTGTAGCAGTGGGAATAAATTTCAATGGGTGGTTCTATTGAAGTACTCCTTTGTATGGTGAGATGTAGCACACACCATGCTTGCTGCATGGTGGCTCACCTGGTTATAAATTGGATAATATTTGTCCGGCGAGCAATAAGCATGGCTCATCTGTCATACGCACCAAAGTAAACCATCCTCGTTACAACACATTCCTCACCACACCAATTCGGACTCGTCACGCCACGTCACAACTACGCATCTAAGAAGAGATGCATGTCAGTCGCACATCGTCTTGCACCTTTCTTGAAAGTGACGAGTCCCACCATCTGGCCCGCGTGCAGACTTTCAAAGCGCAGAAGGCTCACATCTTGGCGGGCTGTTTGTCACTCGAGTCGGAGGGACCACTTCCTTCATACTCGCTCCCGCACTTGAATCTTCCGCAATCCGTTTTTACACGCCCACTCGCCATCCGATTCCATCACATGCGCGCTTTCTCGTAGTCGCATCACCTCGTCCGCCGCGCCGTTGCCACTCGCTTCCTTTCTCTCGCGTTCCGCCGCACCTCCGTCTCTTGATGGCCCTCGCCGCTCACCTCATCGCGTCGTCCTCCCTCGCCTGCCCGCGCGCCCTCGCCACAACCGCCCGCCTCCCCCGCGCGTGCCTCCCCCACTTCGCTCTCCCCCAGCTATACCTTCCCCATACCGCCAGGCCTCGTTCCTCCGCCGCTACGTGCCCCGCCGCCCGCATCACCTCCGCCAGTGTCGTCGCCGCGCCCGCCCGCTCCGCCCGCCAGTCGCCAGCCGGTTTCCCCGTTTCCGCCACCCGCGTCGAACTCATCTCCGCGCGCTGCGCGTCGTCGCAGGGTCTTCCGCATCCCGCCACGCCGCGAGTGGCGCCGCGAGCAGGTGGAGCGGCTCGGGCAGCGGCGCGCAGTGAGAAGCCACGTGACGTTGCGACCATGGCGACGTCGCCGTCCAACGCGGAAATGGCCGGCAGCTCAAAGGAAGGTGAGCGGTGGTAAGCGGTGGTGGTGAGCGGTGATGCACGGTGGGGACCGGTGAAGAGCATTGAAGAGGTCGACTCATAGTAGGAAGGTCCTGGGCCTCTGCTCTTGATCGTTTGCCGCTCCAACCCCTCCGTGGCCTGCGCACCTTGCTTGCCAGGTCCCCAGTCATGCTGCTCTGCACGATTCGCACGCCTTGCCCATGCGCTCTGCTCTGCTCTGCTCATTCCCCTGTCACCTACTTGCCTGTCGCCTTGCACCCCTTGCACGCCTTGCACGCCTTGCCCGCCTTGCCCGCCTTGCACGCCTTGCACGCCTTGCACGCCTTGCACCCCTTGCACGCCTTGCACGCCTTGCACGCCTTGCACGCCTTGCACGCCTTGCACGCCTTGCACGCCTTGCACCCCTTGCACGCCTTGCACGCCTTGAACGCCTTGCACCCCTTGCACGCCTTGCCCACCTTGCACGCCTTGCCCGCCTTGCCCGCCTTGCCCGCCTTGCCCGCCTTGCCCGCCTTGCCCGCCTTGCCCGCCTTGCACGCCTTGCCCGCCTTGCCCGCCTTGCCCGCCTTGCCCGCCTTGCCCGCCTTGCCCGCCTTGCCCGCCTTGCCCGCCTTGCCCGCCTTGCCCGCCTTGCCCGCCTTGCCCGCCTTGCCCGCCTTGCCCGCCTTGCCCGCCTTGCCCGCCTTGCGCGCCTTGCGCGCCTTGCCCGCCTTGCCCGCCTTGCCCGCCTTGCCCGCCTTGCCCGCCTTGCCCGCCTTGCCCGCCTTGCCCGCCTTGCCCGCCTTGCACGCCTTGCCCGCCTTGCCCGCCTTGCCCGCCTTGCCCGCCTTGCCCGCCTTGCCCGCCTTGCACGCCTTGCCCGCCTTGCACGCCTTGCCCGCCTTGCCCGCCTTGCCCGCCTTGCCCGCCTTGCACGCCTTGCACGCCTTGCCCGCCTTGCCCGCCTTGCACGCCTTGCACGCCTTGCCCGCCTTGCCCGCCTTGCCCGCCTTGCACGCCTTGCACGCCTTGCACGCCTTGCACGCCTTGCACGCCTTGCCCGCCTTGCACGCCTTGCCCATGCACGCATGGTCGCCTTAACTCGAATGCTCCGCGCCGGACCTCTCCCCTTCACCCGTTCTCCGTGCAACCATCCCACGCCGTCCTCTGCCTTCCCCATCCATGCCAGTCACGCAATCGCGCTGGTGACTCGTTGCTCCCTGCCCTCATCTCCCCGTCCCTGCCCCTTCACCCATCCCTGCCCCTTCACCCATCCCTGCCCATTCCCCTGTCCCCCCTCTCTCACAATCCCCCTCTTCCACATCTCCCCCTTCGCTTATCCCCGCCCTTCCCCGCCCTTCCCCGACCTTTGCCATCTCCCCCCCAACTCATCCCCGGCCATCCCTGCCCTTCCCCACCTCCCCCTCTCGCTCATCTCCGCTCCTCCCCCGTCCCCACATGCCCAGCTCCGTTGGCGAGTCGGCGCTGTGTGCCGTGTGAGGGCAAGGGGCTGCTGCCACTGCCCGCTGACCGCATCGCCACTCTGCTAGAGCAGGTAGATGCTGCAACGACCGCCACGGCTGCTACAGCTGAGCTGAAATAGCTCGATACGTCTGCGCGCTAGCTGTGGTAAGGTATAGATGCGTCAGAGGGTTGATTGTGCGCTGAATGGAAAGTGCCCCGTGCTGCACAGCTTCTGGAGCTGCTGCGTTGTGTTTAGAGAATCTATGCCTCTTGCACAACATGCTGGATGCATGAAAGGGAGAGTGGTTGTGAGAAAGCATGAGAGTGCATGTGAGTGCATGTGAGCTTCCATGAAAGGCTTGCTAACTCTCACATGCACCCTCACACGCACTCTCTCACCTGCACTCTCATGTGTTCACAGTCGTCCTCACTGCCTTGTTCCCCCACATGCGATGCTCTGCTCCTCATGCCCTCCACCCTGCCATTGCCTTTGCATCACGAGCACAATCACGTGTGGCATACAAGTCTGTATCCCTCAATGAATTTCACAGCATTGTATTGTGAATTTTACAGCATTAATGGGACATAAAGTTCTGCATCGTACCACGACCATCCATGATCTGGCATGTACGTTGCCACTTTATGGGGTGTGACTGCACGCATGTGGTGCTATGCGGTGCGCACGGCAGGTGGCGGGGTGGGAGGTGGTGGAGGAGGGCGGCTACCAGCGCATCTGCCGGAAGTGGCGCACGCGGAACTTCCTCGCTGGCCTCACACTCTTTCAGCGCGTTGCAGAGGTTGCCGAGGCTGAAGGTGGGTGCTGCTCCTTCCTTAAGAGGCGGAAGGTGGGTGCTTCTCCTTCCTTAAGAGGCGGAAGGTGGGTGCTGCTCCTTCCTTAAGAGGCGGAAGGTGGGTGCTGCTCCTTCCTTAAAAAGTCGGAAGGTGCTTTCTTATGCTGCCTCAAGAAATCCGTCCTAACATGCTCCTTTAGCAGAAGGGCTTGAAGGGAGCTCGTATCGTACGTAGCTACTCTCACGGTTAAGTGTCGGTTCATACGTATGTTGGAGCCCTGAAGCGCGGTGCAGCGCTTCTGTCTTTTTTAATGGCTGAGGGGAAGCCTGGACATTGGCTAATCTGTCCAGTAAAAAGGCTGGGGTGGCCTGTGAAGAAACGGTTAAGCTCGGGCTCAACTTGGGGTTCCAGTTTGTGCTTATGTCTGAGCATGATCAGTGCGACGTTTCACACAAGAAGTGCTGCACCTCTAACTTCGAACCCTCCCTAGGTGTGCCGTATAGCTACAGCACACCCTTGCCCAAGGAGGTGTCTTGTTAGGAAGAGATTTGGCACAGTTAAACTGTGGCATGAATAGTGGAGTGTATTGTGGTGAGGAAAATCATTTGACTCCATCGTATTTCCGCAGCACTTGCCTCCATGAGCCTCACATCCTTGGTTCGTATGTTCCATGCTTTCTGTTTGTGGGTGCGTGTGGATTGCATGCTATGTGGCGTACAGGTCATCATCTCGACCTCCACTTGGAAGGATGGAACCATGCGCGCATCGACATCTACACGCACGCCATCGGTACGCTTCACACGCTAACATCACATTGTGACACGACTCTCCGAGGAGTGTGCAGTGCAGTCGTCATAGGCAGTCGTCATAGTATTTCAAATCTCAATTATACAACACACTCGAATTGGTAATACAAATCTGAACAAACGAATATCATGAGGTAAATGTTACTAGAAAGGGCTTGGGTAGGGTGGGAAGCAAATCAAGATCTGAAAATGAGAATGAGACTAGGTGGCAGGTCCCTCGGACCTGTGAGAATGTGAAGGAGCTTGTCTCCTTTACATCGAACTCCTTTTCTAGTCGAATCACAATCTTCAAAATTTTTAAGTAAACTTTAAAAAATTTTACATATTGTGACACGACTCTCCGAGGAGTGTGCAGTGCAGTCGTCATAGGAGAACGAGACATCACATCGGTGGGCGGTGACGATGGCGAGCGAGTATCGATACGTAACGACGGGTCGAGCTAGTTCGCATCGGATCCTGAAGGGTACGCGAGGCCACCACCAACTCGCGGTCGAGCTGTGTGATATACATCTCCCGAGCCTTGTCACTACGCCATCGTCCGAGGGCCTTAAACAGTCGATCCGGCACACCAACATCGACAGCCACGGTGGCGGCCGATTTGCGGAATGAATGTGTTCCAAGTGAACTCGGGTCGAGGCCGACGCGACAAAATGCTTCGCGACACCAGCCCCTGACCGTGGCGTATGACGGGGATCGATCAGAGGGGGAAGCGCGCGCGGTAGGTGGAAACACACGAATAAGGGGGCCCTTGGTCTGAAAGGAAAATCCGGCAAGAAAGAGGAACTGTTGCATGCGGGAGACTGGGCAGTGGCGAGCGGAAGACGCAGCAACTTGGACCCATGCGCCTGTGCCGGTCTGATCCGTTTTTGAGCGGGGAATAAAGAGCCACATGCAGTCGCTGACGAATTCGATGTGGTGTCATTGAAGGGCAATCAGATCAGAGAAGCGCAAAAATGCTGCAAACATAAGAAGGGGAATGAGGCCGCGTTGGAATGTCGCGGGGTCAGTGGACGAGAAGTAGATGTCGCAGATGTCATAGATCTTGGCGGGAGGTATCGGTTCCTTTGCGACAGATGGTCTGCCGCAGTGGAGTTGCGCATACTCCTTTACTTGTGAGGAAAGTGGTCCTCGAATAGGAGACGGCGAGCCGACCAGCCAGTGGGCACATGAGATAGCGGAGCAAGCGGACCGCACGGCCGAGATGCTGGCACCTTTTCGAACTGAGTGTAGTAAGAAAAGTGCAGTCGTCAGGTCAGTGGCAGGGAGGAATGATAGTGAATGCTCGTTACAAAAGGTGCGATATTGTCGCCAGTATGGTTCATATGTGCGGATAGTTGATTGGGCGCGCAAATCAACCGTGAGCGTCAAGAGATCCCTCAACAATCGTCCGAGGCAGGAACCTGCGAGTTGACATAATTATGCATTAGTCATATATTAAACGAAGGGCATACATATGTGAGTGGGGAAGGCCGGCACCACTAAAGGCATGGGAATCGCTACCAACACGCAGACATATGGAGCCATGGGCGAGATACATGCTCGCACATATATCATGCGCCCAAGTGGTGCCATCTGGGCGTAATAAAGGCCACCAGAAGGCGCTAGGCCATTCCGGAACTACAAGAGTTACGGTCGCCCGAGAACGGCGGGCGTGGGCGAGGACGGCCGGGATTAGAGGCGGTGGGGGAAATACATAGCAGTTCTCTCCTTTCCAACTAAGAGAAAATGCATCTTGTGCAATGGCATGCTCGTGGTATTCAAGGGAACAAAAACGGGGCAGCTGTGCATTAGACGGCGATGAGAATAGGTCGACTGTGTGTGGTCCCCAGTGGCACTCAAGTAAACGAAACCATTTCGGTGCAAGGGAATAGTCATCGTGTAGGTCAATCTTCGAAAGGGTATCAGCTTCAGTATTGAGCGCTCGAGGAATCCACTGTGCTGTTAGTCGAATCTTGTGATGTCAGTAGAGCTACACTGTGAGATCCCCGATCGATCCTAGGGGGGGTTACAGGCGCGTTTGCCTGGGGGGTTATGGGCGCACTGACCCGCTACTGAAACAAGCCCTTTTATCCCAATGGTCTAGTGGTTGGGATTCTGACATGGTATCAGAGCGGTCTCGGGTTCGAATCCCGGTGTATGCACATGTTGGCCATTGCCACTGTGCTCAGTCCTGGGCCTCCCAGTGTGGGGGGGTGTCAGTAGAGCTACACTGTGAGATCCCCGATCGATCCTAGGGGGGGTTACAGGCGCGTTTGCCTGGGGGGTTATGGGCGCACTGACCCGCTACTGAAACAAGCCCTTTTATCCCAATGGTCTAGTGGTTGGGATTCTGACATGTGACGCACACAGAGCGTGATGATGGCCCGACAGATGAGCGTAAGGTCGTTGTGACGAGAACCACCTTTTTTCAAAATATAGTAAGCTGCCTGGCTGTCGCTTCGTAGTAAGACGTGTGACCGCTGGATCTCAGTACTGAAAGTAGACAGTGCCCAGAGAATTCCAGCAAGTTCGCGAAGCGTGCTTGAGGTGGCCAACAGCGCACGGGGAAACGGGGAGGAGCTTGAGCCGGCTCGGCCATCCGTCGTGGAATAGCAGCTTCCCCAAGCATGGTCGCTTGCATCCACGTACATGACGACGTCATATATGTGCTGATTATGGAAGCATGAGCCGTTGAAGGCATCGAACTGAGTCAGCCAGAATCGCAGCTCGTCTATCGATTCCGGTGACAACTTGATGGATTCCCCCCAAGACCGACATGCATTGATTTGAGAGAGCAGGTGATGGGAGAAGGCGCGTGCGACAGTACCGAGCGCCAAAGCCATAGAAGCTAGCATGCCAGTTATCCTGGCCGCGAGACGAACCGGGATACGACGCCCGTGCATACTCGTCCGGCGTATGTCTTCTAGCTCGTCAAACAAGCGGTCCCGGCGAGAAGCGTCGACTGAGAAAATTGTTGGGTGAGTATCCAATATAAGGCCAAGAAATTTAAGACGTTGTGATGGCTCGAGCTGTGACTTTTCCATATTCACGATAAAACCGGCAGAACAAAGGTCCTCTAGGATAATGGCTCGAGTGCGGAGTGTCTCTGACCGCGTCGCACAGATGAATAAGAGATCGTCGACGTAAGGAATTAATCGAATGCCTCTGCTGCGCCAGCGCTTGGCAAGTTGCTTAATCAACTGTGTAAAGACGAACGGCGCTGTGGCGAGCCCGAATGGCAATGACAAAAATTGGTATCGTTGGCCTTGCAAGGAGAATCCGAGGAACCGCCAAAATGAGGGGTGGATGTCCACGTGATGGTAGCCCGACTTAAGGTCTATTGTGAACAGCCATTCGCCCTGGCGCACTAGGTCGGGGACCCGATTGAGTCCTTCATATCGAAACCGAGGGATAGAAAGGAAGGAATTCACGTGGCGAAGGTCTAGTATGAGTCTCTTCTTTGAAGGTTGGACAACCACGTTGAGTGGGCTAATACATGTAAGCGGCGCATCAGGAGGGACGATGCGAGCGGCGCCGGTGGTGAGTAGGTCGGATACTGCCTCTAGCGCAAATGTCGTATGTTGCAACGCACCCGCATGGTTCGAGGCGTGGTGGGGAGTAGGTTCGACTGACCGCCATGGTAGGCGATACCCCGACATAATGACTGACCGAATGAAAAGGCTCGAACACCAAGTGTTCCACCATGGGGTGCGGTCACGCAAACGTCCTCGCATGTGTTGCACGACTCCATGTGCGTCACTCAAGTTGGGCATGAAGCCAGATTCTGGCAGGGTATGGGAAGTAGTATGGACACGGTCGTATGAGGCGAGTGAGTGGATTATAATCTAAAATAATTATACCCTTCCATGCGGTGTAACAATACACCATGTATTATTGTCGTGACCATATATCATGCTCTGACGAAATGATGTGGACTCTCGCGCCCAATTGTACATAGTACCCTGATGGAGGCATTGTCCCACTATCTTTTATAGTTTCTCCCCTCCCTTTTTTTTTTTTTTTTTTTTTTTTAGGGCTAGTTGTTGTGTCTTCTTTCTTCTTTATTTATTTAGGGCACTCTTCTTTGTCTCTTGATAAAATGATCACCACATTTTGTTTTCACCAACAGTGTCCCCAAGAGAATATATGAACGAAGCATTTATCACCAACGCTATCTTTCATAATAGGAATTACCACCCACAGGTTTTCAAGCAATCTTAGCGGGCTGATTAGCCCCTTGGCCGCGTTGCGGGCAATCGGCTATTCCGTGGCCGGGCTCGCGGCAATAAAAACAACGTCCATCGCCATCCCGACGCCAAGTC